TGCCCAGAACAGCACAATCCATAAGAGTCAAAGATGGAAACAACCGAATTTCCACTGAGAGAAGAATGGATAAACAAAATGCGGTACATCCACATAATGAAATATTATTCAGCTGTAAAAAGAATGAAGTTGTGTTCTTGCTGAAATGAATGAATCAAAAAGCTTGCTAAGTGAAATAAGTCACATACAAAAGGTCACACCTCTACGATTTTATCCATGAGATACTCTCAATAGAAACAACTCCACTGAGACAGAAAGCAGATTGTCAGGGGCTGGTGGAATGTGGAAATACTGGGAGACTGCTTCTTGGGTACAGGTTTCCTTTGGGGTGATGAAAATAGTGTCAAACTAAATATTAGTAGAGAATAGTAGCACAATATTGTGAATGTACTAAATGCCAGTCAATTGTACATTTTACTCTTTAATTAATTTTATTTAAAAGAAGTTTGTGACAATTGGTCAAGCAGCCATAGTAACTGGAACATCCCTAAAAATCCTTTACTTCCTTCAGGGATGACTTAAGTTATATTTCGTTTTGTTTGTTTTTCAAATGGATGTCCAATGCTGAAGTAATCTTTTCTTTTCTCATTTTACTATTAATATATCCTTGTGGAAGCTCATCTGACTGTATTATGGAGGTCTATTTATGGACCCTATATTATGTTGAACTGACAACTATAGTTTTGTAAGGCAGGTGGAGTAAATTTTTCTATCTAGTTCATGTTTATCAGGAGTGCTTTAAATAATCATAGGCTTTTTCCTTGGTTGGTACATTTTTAAAATATTTATATCATTTTCTAGAATAAAGCCTGCTAGGGACATATTCAAATTCTAGGCCAATATGTACCACCTACCCTTTACCAATATTGAATATGAACAGGATATATCTATCCAAAGTTTTAGTTAATTTGTCTCAACAATGTCTCCTAATTTTCTGTATAGGCAGTTTTCATATTTTCCCATCAAATTTGTCCCTAAAAATTTGGTATTCTTTGATGCTACTACAAATGGTATTTTAAGGATATTTTCAATTTTACACTGTCAGAATACAAAATACAATTATCTGCTTGCTTACTTTGTATCCTGTGATTTTTGACAATTTTACTTACTCATCTTAGTATTTTTTCTTCTACGTTCCTTTTGTGTTTTTCATGTTTATAAAATTTTGACATGTATAGTAAAAGGTTTTTCTATCTTCGCTTGCAATTATATATTTTTTCTCTTGTCGAATTTCATTCACACTATGATTTTGAACAGAAGTTGTAAGCATTTGTTTCATTGATAGAGGAGCAGTATTCAATATTTCAGTGCAGAATATGATAATAACTGTGAGACTTTTGGTTTTGATCTTTATTAGGCTGAGGATATTTTCTATTATTCCTACGTTGATGGAGTTTTTATCATAAATGTTGTGTTTTGTCAGATATTTTTCCCCCGTGTATTGAAATGAATATATAAATTTTCTCTCTTACTCTTTTTTTATAGTGAATTGCACTGATAAATGTTTGTCTATTAGATGAACATTGCATTTCTTACATAAAATAAATTGGATCACTTTCCTATATTTCTGTATTAATATTACTAATAGGTGGTAAAAATATTTATATCTATGGTCTTGGACTAGGATCATTTCTAGTGTTCTTTTCTTATAAAGTCCTTATCTTGTTTTAGTTTATGGAGGCCACCTAAATAGAGTTGAAATGTGTAGCCTTCTTCTCCATTTTCTGAAAAGTTGCATATGGTATTAATTTCTTTTAGTTTCAAATGTTTTGATCCCATAATGAAGCCATCTTGGACTCAAGTCCTTTTGATGAGAAACTATTTAATAATTAATTCAATTTATTTAACTGATAGAGGAAACTTAAATATATCTATTTCTTCTTGAGTAAGTTTTAGTTTCTTGTGTCTCTCAAATGATTTATATCTTTTATACAAGTTGTCAATCTTACTGGCATATAACTGTTAAATTATCTTCTAAGTATCCTGTTAATGCCTTCACAATCTGTAATAATTTTTATTCTTTTATTCCTAATACTCTTGCATATGATAAGTCTTGCAAGGTAGTTTTATTGTTTAAGTAAATATTTTCAAATAACCAACTTCTGGGATTTATTGATTTTTCTTTGTTTTACTTTGTATTTCAATTACATTATTTTTCTCATTTATTTTCCTCAACATATTCTTGATTTAGTTCATTATTTACCTATATTCTTAAGGTGAAAGCTGAGGTTATTGACTTTATACCATTTTGTTTTCTAATACATCAATCTTTAAAATGCTTCTATTAGAGCTATGAATTTTCTCCTAAGCACTGATTTAGTTCATCCTACAAATTTGTATATGTTTTGTTTTTCATAATGTTGTCAAATTTCCTTTGCAATTCTGTACTTAACTCCTTCGTTATTTAGAAATGAGGTTTTTAATTTCAAAATGTGGAGGCAAGCAGAGTTTCTAAGTTTCTTGTAATTTATTTCTAACTTAATAAAATTTCTTCACAAAAAATATTTCATATAACTACATAATTGTTTTACAGCATACCATATTAATTATCTTTCTGAATATTCTACCAGGAATTGAGAATTATATACATGTGTGTTAGAGTGTGTGTGTGTGTGTGTGTATGTGTTCTAACTTTATTGAGCATGTGTTCTATAAATATCAATTAAATCAAGGTGGTTGTTCATAATTTCATGTGTTTACTGATTTTTCTGATTCACTTATTATGTCTTTATCTGCTTTTAATTCTATAAATTTCTCATTAGGCATTTGGAAACCCTGTTTTTATGTGCACTGCCCCACAGCATTATCATGTTTTCTGAATTCAATAACTTTTTCATTATGAGATGATCTCTTTTGAATTCTTCTTGGTCTGATGTAGCCATATAGGTTTCCTTATGCTTAGTATTTAAAATTGGTTTTGTCTGTATATTTAAAGTGTGTTTCTTGTTTTTTAAAAAATCTATACATTTTATGCAGCCTGACAATACTTGTTTTATCAGAATGTTTAATCCATTTTTATGTGGTACAATTCCTCTCATATTTATAGTTTAACCTATCATCTTGGTGTTTGATTTCTATTTTACAATCTATTCTTTGTTTATCTGTTTCACTTTTCCTGCCTTTATTTTGGGAAGATAAAGAACATTTTCATATTCCATTTTAATGTATCTATTAACTTCTCATTTGTGCTTTTGTACTGCTTTTAGTGATGCTTTAGAAATTCTGATATGCACCTTTAAGCTATTACAATCTATGTTCAAGGGAAATTCTATTACTTCAACAACATTTTAATATTTGATAGTATATTTCCAATGTTAACCCTTCACTCATTTTATTCTTATTGTTATATGTATTATCTCTACACATACTATGAAAATGTTATTTTGTTATTGTTTTTGCCATTAAAATATTGCTAATGATCTATGGAACCAGAGGTTGAGAGGAGACAGAATCAGATGCCAACCACCAGCAACACTCTGCAGCTGGTAGCATCCTACGTAGAGCAAAGAGCTTACAGAATGAGGTGGGCTTTTGACATTCTCCCCTCAGTGATAAGTGATGAAATCCAGAACTGGCAATATAAACTAGTAAACCCTTATAGTTATGGATTTATCATTGGAAGACAGAGGTAGAAAGAGGAAGGAAGGAGAAAGGGAGGTGAAAGGAGGGCAAATATAGAGAGAGGGGAGAAGCTGATGACTCCTTGATAGAGATGGAAACTGAGACTTGATTCATTTCATTTTCATTTCTTTATTTATTCATTTTTCCCATATGAATTCATAACTGGGTCAGGAATGGCGTTGGACACTACTAATCATACTAGTCCAAAGAAGACATAGTAATTTTAGACTTGTGTATTTTTTTAATGTTGGGATCAAATTTTATATACTAAACTGGCAAAGAAGGAGAAGTTGACAAATCACAATCGTCATTTGCTAAGACCATTTAATGTTCATAATATTCCATTTAACCTCACAAAACTATTGGTGGGGTTGATCCAATAGTTTTATGAGTACCACTATGTAAATGCAGATAGAGTTAATTTCAGTCTCTTTCACATATGACCCAGATTCAGACTACAGTTAGCACACAGTGGTTTTTCAAAGATTTTCAAACAAAAATAATTATTTTAAACATACTCTTTTCTTTGTTGAAATTCAAAGCAAACACCTCACTCTATAACAAATATAAGAAATCGATGTATAAAGCAGTTTTCAAGCTCTCATGTGTTCCATCAGCTCCTGAACTATTTAACAAGCTTCCACATGTGTGGAGGCAGCAGAGCCCTGGAGAAATGCAGGGGCTACTAAGGTAGTGGGAAAGGAAGCAGGGACATTAGGAGAAGGGAACTTATGGCAGTGTGGGAGAGGATAACTATAGACTTGTTCAGTCACAAATAATAATGAGCAGGGTTTCAGGCAGATCCTAGATAGAGGATTTAAGATTTGTTGTTGTTGTTAAATGTTTGGAATAGAAATATCTTTCACTCTGCTCTAAAAGATTTAACTTGATTTTTTTGTACTTCATTAAATGCAGATATGGTCCTGCTTTGAATGTAGTATAATGCTACTACTGGCCATGAGAGGCAAGGGAACTGCTCCCTACAACTTGTATTCTTCAAGGAACAGAGTACTAGGTCTAAATCATTACACATGTTTGAGAGTATAATTAGGTGACTAGATATACATACAATAATTCAATATCAATGCAGACTTGAAAGTGGAAATCATTAGGATTAATGGTCAAAAATACCAGATCAAGGGCTGGGGTTGTGGCTCAGAGGTAGATCACTCGCCTGCCATGTGTGAGGCCCTGGGTTCAATCCTCAGCACCACATAAAAAAATAAAATAAAGATATTGTGTCCACATATAACTAAAAATAAATAAATTAATATTTTTTTTAAAAATCCAGATTAAAAGTTTGGCTTCAGTTACTACTTTTTCTTAATTTCCTGAACAACAGACTTATAAAGGAAATAATATTTGAAGAACAGACTTACATGATTTGGAGTCTGGCGATGGGGGAGAAATATTAGACACAGCAAGGTCACTTTTTGATTTTTTAGGCTTCTTTGCATTTAATTGCCAAGGTTTATCATAGCTTCTGAAATCTCTTCTTGTTCCTTTAGATTCTGTTAAAACAAAATACATATAAAAATCAATAATAAGGATGAAGGCATTCTTGTCATCAAATATAGCAATATACAAAGGACCACTGAGCCAGTGAAGAGTGAGACATTGGGTGTCGTGGGTTTCTTTATTCTGTAGTTCTTTCTGGGCAAGGAAAACAATTCATATTAATTCAAGTAATATAGCAAGGCTACTATTCCTATCTAGTTGGTAGAAAAGAGATGAGATGAGACAGGATGTGACCACTACTGGAAATTTCAATATCAGCCATGATTTCACCTATCCCATAGTTTGAAAAGAATCCAAATAGTTTCAAGCTACATGGTAAGGGGACAAGAAGAATTCACCTACACTATTGGTGGACAAACCTAAAACTAGATAGAATACTCCACATTTAAATTTTAATAAACAGAAAAAAATATAATTCTAAGAAAAATTTCATTTAAAAACACAAGAATACAGCATCCACAATGCAGAGATCATACTTTTAAAAGCATTAAATATCAGAACACAATTGATTTGTCTTTTGAATAAAAATAAAAGAAAATGGACTGTATGAAACCAAAAGAAATTAAAGCCGGGTATGGTGGTGCACGCCTGTAATCCCAGAGGCTCAGGAGGCTGAGGCAGGAGGATGGCAAGCTCAAAGCCAGCCTCAGCAAAAGTGAGGCATTAAGCAACTCAGTGAGACTCTGACTCTAAATAAAATATAAAATGGGGCTGGAAATGTGGCTCAGTAGTTGAGTGCTCCTGATTTAAATCCCTGGTACTCCCCCCCAACAAAATAAATAAATTAGAGCAGAGATAAGTCAACCAACCTATGATTGAAAATGGAAATGTTCACAGAAAAATTATTTTTTAAAAAAAGATGAGTAGGAGACTAAAATGCAATAACACATTTAAATTTGTGTTCAAAGTAAGAAAGAAGAGAGAACCGGTACTGTCAAAAATTTAATCAGTGGCATGGAGAACATACTTTATTCAATAAACCCCCTAAGAAGAGAGTAAATAAATATTAAAGGCAAACACAATGCCAAATGAAATGAGAGAAATGAAGAGCCGTGGAGGAGACTCAATGTACACATGATTGTTGTGCTCCGCTGCCTAGTATGGCAATATGTAAATCAATGGATGTGTAACAGATGTGATTCTGCAATCTGTGTATGGGGTGAAGGTGGGAGTTCATAACCCACTTGAATCAAAGTGTGGAATATGATATGTCAAGAAATTTGTAATGTTTTTAACAACCAACAATAAAAAATTTTAAAAAAAAATGTACACATGATTGATTTTCCTGAAAAATCACAGTCAACAGCCCAATAAAACTTTTGAAAAAACATAAGTTTAAAAAATCCATACATATTCAAGAAAAATAATTACTTTTATTATTCCTAAAAATATTATTTCTATATCTCTCATATTTTCACTACATCAACCTCCTGAAGGTTTTTAGCTTTCTATGTCTAAATCTCCTCCTGCCCTTGCTCACTGCCTCATATCTGACCTTGTGCTTCATCATCATTGGAATCACTTGCTCTCAAATATAAACTCCTCCACAAAACTCTTCTTCCACCTTCCATGATCCCCATGGTATCACAACCACAATTCTCAATCTGCCCCTAAAAATTTTTTCTCTCTCTCAACCCAGCTCTATGAACACTAATGAAGAAAAAAAAAAATCACCTTCTTGCTTTCTGCTTTCTATGATGAATTAGTTAAAAATTAATTCATGTCTTCAACTTCAGTAAGGCCCCAAAACTGCTTAACAAACTCTCTTACCTTTAGCAAACAACCTCACCTCTTAACAAACAACAAAATTTAGGGCAACCAGAATGATCTTACATGTATTTTCTTCCATATTCTAAGTACACATCTTCCACATGTTTAACCACATCTTCCTCCATTGTTTTACCCTCATGTTTTTCATGATTAGTTGTGTTGGGAGTCACACTGGCTCCAAAGACTAACTTCCCCATCCCCAGAGAGCCGTCCAATGGTGATCCCTGCTAATTCACATGATCCTTACCCACCAATCAGAACTTCCCCATCCCCTGAGAAGAGCCGTCCAATGGTGAGCCCTGCTGGCTCACAAGATCCTTATCCACCAATCAGACTAGCCCTGCTGACTCACATGATCCTTACCCACCAATCAGACTAGCCCTGCTGACTCACATGATCCTTACCCACCAATCAGACTAGCCCTGCTGACTCACATGATCCTTACCCATCAATCAGAAAGCACCCTATGCCAACTGACAAACCGTTCAACCATTAAACTCTCATAACTGTCAAACCACCGCCGGCTCTATAAATATGCAGAGCTGTTCCTCAATAAACAGGCATTTTCTCCGAAGATGAGCCTTGATCGTTCTTTCAAGTTGTATGATACTGAATGAGTTCCACACCAGGACTTCTGCCTTGAACTACCCCAGAGCTTTAAACAGCACCAATTGCCTACTGTAACTATCTACAAAGATTTTCCACAGGAAACTCAAATTAATCAATAGGAATTGAGCTTATATTTCCCTTTATAAATTTAGTTCTATGTTCCTATTAATAATGCTTATTAAATGAGCATTTATGCCATCACTCAAGTCAGTAAACTGGGAGTTATGATAATCTCCTCCCTCCTTTCCCCTTCTGCAAGGAAAGAGTCATAAGTGCTTGTGAAAGTCAGAATTCTAAGAAAACTAGCAAAATAACAAGGTAATTTATAACCATGATCGGTGTACCCAGGTGTTCTGCCCTATTATTCTATTCCCTCCCCTTGAGTGAAGACAGGACTTTTGACCTGCTTCTAGCCAATAAAATATGGCAAAGGTTTTGTCAATGTCATGATTACATTATATTAGATAAGACTCCATTTTAGCAGAACAGAATGAGAGAAATTCCTTTACTGCCTTTAAAAAAGTAAACTGTCATGAGGTGAGAGAGCAACGCGGCAATGAACCTTGCATTACATCTCGGAGCTGAGAACAGACTCTAAATGAAAGCCAGAAAGGAAACAGGGTTCTCAGTCACAAAGCTGCAAGGGATAAATTTTGCCTCTGTTGGGTGAAGTCTTCATTCACCCAAATGAACTTGAAAGCAGATTCTTCTGTTGGCAAGCTCCAGATGAGAATGAAACCTGGTCAACACCTTGACTTGCAACCTGGTGAGGCTTGACACTTAGCTAAGCCAGGCATAAATTCCAACAAGGACACTGAGATGCTAAATGTGTGCTGGTTAAAGTGCCCAGTGTAATAAATCATTCTCTCTTCAGATACAATGTTTTATAAAACATGGACTCACATGAACTTTGGTAAGCTCACAGATGCTCATCTGATATGCCTTCACCTGGTGGGTGCCATCTTAGCACTTATAAGCCAAAGATTAAACACCTAATTTATAATCTAAACCCAAGAAAGTGGGGCCAAGAAAAAACAAGTGTTCCCTCTGTTGTATGCCAAAAGCTCATATTCTAGTTTCCCGTATGATGCAGACAGCTTTGCATGGATCATCAACACCAGATATGTCTACCTTCTTCAGGAAATACCCTATTCTCTATTCAGTGTCTTGAGAAAGCACTAATATGACAACACATGTAGAGACAAAATCCTTTCCATGAGATCCCACAGAGCATGAAGGGGAGAAGAGAAGTCATAGTGTCATCGCAGAAAAAAAAAACATTTTGAGTCCAAACAAGCTGATTCCCTGGAGAATCAGGCAAGGAGTTGGGCACCCAAGGAGATCTGGGCTTGAAAATAAATACCTGAGACAACAGAACAGTGTGTAGAGAAGGGTGAAGTCAAGTCTGCCCAAGGATCTCACCAGTGTTTACTGGATAAATAAAGGTATCATAAAGCTGGAGGGCTGGTTCCTCAACATCCAGAAGGAACGATTTCTCCTAAATCTGAACTTACACACAGGATAACATGAGGGCTGGAGAAAATGGAGACTTCTCATCAGTTTGAGAAGTAAGAAAACTAACTTTGTAGATATCTAGTCTTTTTTTTCTTACTTTTTTCTTTACTTTTCTATACAGATGAACTATAAGCATTTAATTCAAAATATTCATAAAAGAAACAAAAAATTAGAATAATTTGTTTGAACTCATACAGAATGAAATCCTTCTCTGCAAATCTGAACCATCTCTATTAAAATTAAATACCCTGATTTTTATATTTTGAAGTACAATGCAATATCTTCAAATTCAAAAATACTATAAATTTTAACATCTGGGTGAAGTCACAGTCGAATACGTGAAAACCTTAGGTATCCATTCATCTAGATTGATCTTATCAAAATCAAGAAGACTTGAAATTTTTCATTAAATGTATCCCAAATTAACTGCAAGATATTTTTCATTTACCTGATGTTTCACTTTCTGCCCAGAGAGCTGCGGATCCAGACAAAGTTCTTTGCAGTTGTCCACGATTTCCTTGTTTAGATTGAAGATGGTCAATAAGAAATGGGATTGGCTGGTCAGGTGTCTCAGTTATTAGCTTGGTCATTAATTCCTGAAGACAGAATGGAGCACACATTTATGTCTAATAACCACAGCAAAGATAATAAACATTAAATTAGCATTTAATATTGTCAATCATCACTGTTTCTATGCAGGAACTAATTTAATCCTAAGAATATTTTCAAGCAGGGACAAATTACTGCCCTCATTCTGAGAGAAGTGAAGTATAGAGAACTGAACTGTCTACATTGCAGAGCTAAAATAGAGTAAACCCAAGAAGTATTTGTTTATATTAATCTTTATTTCTCATAGTTAGCCTAAATATACTAGAAATTTTATCTAAGTACTTATTTTTAAAAAGCATCATCTCAGAATTTTAAGTTTTTGCTTACTGTTCTGAGAGATGCCATTACAAACTAAGCGTTAGATAAAATTCACCATATGCCTTATATAGTAAGTTTTAGATATCAGATACACCCTAAAAAGTTACTGTGTTAATGAGGTATATTCAAATCTAAAGTGATTAGGTTATGAGAGCTGTAACCTTATCATATATAACCCCCAGTCCATTCTAGCTTGAATGGATTGACTTGGGGGACACCATAGGCCGGGGGACATGGCTAGTGAAGGTGGGTCATGGGGGCATGCCATTAAAGGGTTCATTTTCCTTCAGCTCCTTCCTCTCTCCCTCTCTGTTTCCTGATCCTGCCAGGAACCAAGCAGTTTCCCCCCTGCTGGGCCCTTTGGCCATGATGTGCTGCCTCTCTTGGGCCTAGAGCAATGGATTCAGCCTACCATGGACTGAATGTCCAAAACCTTGAGCCCCTTTTTCCACCTTTAAGTTGTTCTCATCGGGTATTTTAGTCATGGTGACACAAAGCTGATTTAAGCATATACTAATGTCATTTTTCCTTCTTATCCACACATAAATATCCCTAAATGAAGAAAATTTTGTTGGAATGAATAAATGGGTAATATGCCAGAGATTCACAAAAATGAAAAAGTGTCTGAAACAGTCCCCAAACATTACAGAATCTTCTTTTTACAAAAATCTCTGATGAGTAAATCTTTTGGTCTCTTCCTCTGTGTATGTTCCTCCCTCTCCCTCTCTCCCCATCCCCCTCCCCTCCCCCTCCTCTCCCCCTCTCCCTCTTTCCCCCTTCCCCTCACCCTCCCCCCTCCCTCACCCTCCCCCCTCTCCCTCCCCCTCCTCCTCTCCTTCTCCCTCTCCCTCTCCCTCTCCCTCTCATTAAGCAACAGCAAGATCTTTACCTGCGAAACAGGCCATTCCATTTTTAAATAGCTCTAATGATACCTTAAATTGGGCCAAAATTTGCCCAAGGGTAATATCTATACATTGTTTTTTCCAGTCAGAAAGAGCAAAAAAACAATCTCCAATTTGTGGTCAATTAGAATCCCCAGATTGTTCGAACATGAACAGCTGTCAAGCCGCGGGTGTTGTGAAATTGGATTTCTAAATTCACAAGCACCACTTTTTGGTCTTATCAGTCACATTCCATCTTGTTGGTTTTAGCCTAGAATTCTGGTCTGTCAACTGTCATTTTATGTTCAGATTCTAGGAGAGGCAATCTAGTGAGCAGGCCTGAAAAATCAGATGTTAGTCTTTTTGTTTGATGGTGGCCTCTTTCCTCCACCTTGAATGTTTTTCTCTCAGATGGCTGATGGTGATCCTATCATCATTCAGTCTACAAGGATGCCTTCTCAGCAAGGCTTAGCCTTAACCAATCTTTCAAGACTTTATCACTTTATTTTCTTCTCAGCCTTCAGCACTCTCCAGAGTCATTTTGCTAATTATTTGTCCACCTATTAACTCAGGGATGTTCCTTTACATTTATAACAGTCTACAAACACACAGATTTATCTGATCAGAGCCTAAATGGTTTTTGTAGATGACAAGATCCCAAGTTGGTCTTAGAGATATGCATCAAATAATTCAGAGTATCTCAAAAAAAATGTGCTGATTGAACCTAGATTTGGAGCTTAAAAGAGCAAGTGGTTTCTACCCTAAATACATTGTAATGCAAAATATTTATAAGACAAATGTAATACTTTTGTATTCTGAAAAACAGGTAAGCAAACACCATTTAATATAGTCTTATGTATTTCTGCTGCTGAAAAATCTCAGTCATTCGCATTATAACTAAAGAGGCCATTTGTCTACTGTTGTAATCATGAAGCACTGCAGGTTCAATTAAACTCCAATTATACATCAACGGCTGGAATTTTAAACATTTCAGATTTTGCACTTTTGGGAGAGATGTATTACATTCTATTTGAGCTCATTGTACGTTACAAATGCCATTAGAAAATGGAAAGAAAAGTAAATCAAAGTGAGGCAGAAAAAATAAGAAGTAAAGTAGGACAGAAGAAAAAAGAAACACATAGGAGACATTTAAGGAAGGACAAGAAAATATAATTTTAAAGTTCTTCATACTTTTTGAGGCCTGTCATTCCCCAAATTAGTTCTTCCCAGGTCTATCACTCCCAAATTTCAGGGAAATCTATAAATCTTAGAGTTAACATAAAACCACTTACTCATGACAATTACCTTTTGCACTATTAATTAATCCACCAATAAATATATTAAGCAAAGAGAGACATGATATTTTAAGAAACCTATAATTTAGGGGACTTTCTAGTGTTATCTATAGATTATATAATGGAGCCAACATCATTCTAAAGCCCGTGAGAATGACAGCACCACCATAAACAATCTTGTGATCACCAGATTAATGCCATCCTTACCCAGCCTCCCATACCCACCCTTTACCAAGTTTTCTTTAAAAAAAGAACCAGTTACCCCAGAAGCACATCTCACTTTTCCCGCCATCATTTGTTTTATTTATTTATTTATCTTGAAATGACATTATCTTGACAAAGAATGCTTCCGGATAGGCACAAAATAATATGATATCTTGCAATATTAAATTTAATTTCATGGGTTTTTTATTGGTTCTTTTTAGTTATTCATGACAGTAGAATTCATCTTGACATGATTATAAAAGCATGGAATATATCTTATTCTAATTCACACTCCAGTATCTCCCCTTCCCCTTTCCTCTCCCCTCCACTTTCTCCCTTCTATTATCTTTCTGCCATTTACCCATAGTTATTTTTTTAATTGATTTCTTGTGGATGTACATGATGGTGAGATTCGCTGTGCTGTATTCATATACGAACATAGGAAAGTTGTGTCAGATTCATTCCACTGTCATTCCTTTTCCCATTCCTTCTCCCTTCCCATCAATCCCCTTTGTCTACTCTACTAAAGTTTATTCCCTCTACCCCTTATTGTGGGTTAGGTCCCATACATCAGAGAAAACATTCCACCTTTGGTTTGAGATAACCCACATTTTCCCTTGAACATGTCTCTGCTTTCCCAAATAAATCTTTGTCTGTGTCTCTGACTGGCATGTGCTGAAATTCTTTTCATGACATAATCCCAGGACCCCACATGTCAAGTTCCCACCCTCAGGAACTCTTCAGACTGTCTTCTGGTGATATCTCTTCTCCAGAGGCAGAGAGACCAACTAGACTATTCTATTCACAGAAAGCCTGAGCACTAAGATAAAAGCAAAATTAGGTCAGAATAAAGAGCTCCAGAATCACAGTGATTTCTCTCCTGAGACCGCAGAAAGTATCATATGCTTTTTATAAAAAAAAAAAAAAATCCACCTTTAGGATTGGACAGGAAGTTTCCATATTTTTGTTCTTGTAAAATAAACTGAAGTTCCCCAATGTTTTCCTCAGAAGATGGATTACACAGTCAAAATATGCCAAATAATCTCTATTATATTTTAAAAGTATTATCAGTCTAATAACTAGTTTTGGCTACAATTAAATTCCATTAATAAATATTAGAGACTGAAGACACAGAACAATTGCAGTCACAGCAAAATTAAAACAGTTAATGTTTGCAATAGAGTGTGTTAGGCATCTGGGTTGGGAAACAGGACAGTTGAATTCATCTTGACATGATTATAAAATTATAAAACCATCTAGCTGTAGATGATTTTACTTACAAGAGGAATGATCCTGCCTCTCACTTAATCCACATATCCATTGACATTAGAACTCAAATGATTCTGAGAACTTGAACTTGCAAAAATCCCTTTCCTGGGCAAGAAAATGTTAATCCTTAGATTTGCAAAGATGCTCCTGGCAATAAAAAGATTGATTTCTTTCCACCCCTGGGACTTAGAGGCACAAAAATAGAACCGAGGGGCTGAAAGATTTGAGGAAGTGAGAATAGAGATGTGTAGTTAGAATGTAAAGTCAGGGCTAGAAATTGATAACAGGAAGTTTCACAAGGATCACTGACCAGAGGAAGAAAATATCCCAGAGCATGAAGCCAGTCTCAGGCACACAGACTGAACACCCTTAGATTGAGTGTGTCCAGGAGGAGGCTCATCTGCCAGTCTTGCCATTGGTGTAAGAGTCATGACATGAAATTCCCTAAGATATTTGTGCTATGTGTCTAAATTGAAAGAAAATAAGAGTGGTGACAGCACTTTTGCCTGGTAACAAAATGCCTGTGGACATTTTAGGCTAAATATTTAAGTATTGATAAAATGCAAGTATTATGATGTGTTTGCATTCACTGCCTAGATTAAACCTGAGTCATTCAGGTTGCAATCAAAATATACTAGCAGTTGTTACCAAAAAAAGGTTTAAATTCTAATTTAAACTTATCAGGCAATATCAATAAAATTGTTCATGTATGGAATATGCAATAAGTGATACAGGAAATGGAGGAAATAGTAGAAATTAGACATAAAGGGTTTAAAATCAGATACACATTCCTGAATCATTCATCTCCTACTTACTAGCTGTGTGACTTTAGGGAAGGCACTTAACCACTTTAATATCCAATACTCCATCCACTAGCCAGTCATAGTAGAACACACATCTACAATACCAGAGGCTCTGGAAACTGAGGCAAGAAGGATCTCCAGTTCAAAGCCAGTCTTGACAACTTAGCAAAGCCGTAAGCAATTTAGTGAGACCCAGAGCACCCCTGGGTTCAATCCC